TATTTTGTTGTGAAAGACAGGATTTCGCACTTTCTTACAGCTGAGTAGTATTCCATAGTATGTAAATACCACATTTTCTTTACCCAGTCATCAGTTGATGGACATCTGGATTGATTCCACATTTTAGCTATTGTGAATTGAGCTGTTATAAACACAGGGGTGTAGGTCACTCTCTCATATTCTGATAATTGGTTCAGAAATGCTAGAAGAGCCACCAATGTCAGCCAGAAATAGAAGATGTCCTTTTAGGATCAAGTTGACAAAGCCTGAGTGAGAACAAAGTCAGCCTTCACTCATCCGCAGACCAGTTTTGCAGGGCACCACTTGCACAAGGATATGTGGTAACACACTTAAATCCCAAAATTACCTCTGATGTTTTGTTTCTCAGTTGTCTTCATCCCTAGTTTGCAATAGACTAATTGTGACTCTTATCAACCTAGTCAGAAACTTAATTCCAGTAAATTTTTTTTATTTTTCACTGAATGTTCGCATGAGAACTGTAGCAGGTATGGCCACTTATAGAATATGTTGATTTACTTCTCTGGTGGACTCCAACTTTGTTATTCTTTGTTGAGGAGTGGCTCTTCTTCATAAACTATAATGATCTAAAAGCCCTACTCTTGATATGGAAACTTTCTTGCCAAAAATGAAACTAGGATTTGTAGTCAAGCTTGTGTACTGCAATGACTCTCCTCAAGAGAGAGTTGTAGACAGAGTGATTTTTTGCAATTCCACATGCCACTCCCTTTTAAAGGGAATTCTGGTAAACAAATTGTTCTCAATCTCCTTACAAATGAAATAAGCATCAAACATATTGCCTTGGAAAGGTCAGAGAATTTTCAAATATTTTGAAGAGACCTTATATGGTGCAGATATTCAATAATAAAGAGACAATGAACTAGAGACTAACAATGTGATGTGATTTAAAAACCTACTATGTCTTGATTTATATCAAAATACATTTCATGTTAAAGACTAGTTTTTGAAATTTGATTACTTTTATCATGATGAAAAAATGTCATTGAAAATTAAGTAATGAAATGATTTGACATATGAGAAAAATTTTTAAATAGTAGTCTTTCTTCCAGCTGTCACAACTCATTTAGATTCCAGTTGTCTGCAATTGCAAATCTCTGAATCAAAATGTCAGCCAATGGCTGTCTGTGGCACAGAAAATGTCTCTAAGGTGAAGATGAATACTAATTGCTAGAGCTATAACAAGAAAGAGACCTATGATTGATTTTTTTTCATTTGTTAATATTAAAAATGTATACAGACATTGAGGGTTTTGGCAGAAATGAAGACCCAAATCCAAACCATTCTCAAGAACATTCTAAGTCTGATATTGTTCTGGTAACTTGCTGATTTGCTCAAGTATTTTTTTTTTTTTTCGACAGGCAGACTGGACAGTGAGAGAGAGAGACAGAGAAAAAGGTCTCTCTTTGCCGTTGGTTCACTCTCCAATGGCCACTGCGGCCGGTGCGCTGCAGCCGGCGCACCGCGCTGATCCAAAGCCAGGAGCCAGGTGCTTTTCCTGGTCTCCCATGGGGTGCAGGGCCCAAGCACTTGGGCCATCCTCCACTGCACTCCCAGGCCACAGCAGAGAGCTGGCCTGGAAGAGGGGAAAACAGAACAGAATCCGGAGCCCCGACCGGGACTAGAACCCGCTGTGCCGGCGCCGCAAGGCGGAGGATTAGCCTAGTGAGCCGCGGCGCCGGCCCCAAGTATTTTCTTTTATGTACTCTATAAACCTTTCCAATACACTTCTTGAGATGTCTGCAATGTTTCATTCTCTTTATATCACAGACCTATTGTTTCAGACACAGAGTATTAGATAATTATCAATGTCACCCCCCTTTTTGGCATAATTTTGAGGAAGAAAAATATCAAATTGTTTGAGAATGGTCTGGAAAATCTCAGCAAGCTCTTTTGTAAAGTTTGCATTGTATAGATACCCCAAGATAGTCCTTTTATAGTTAGGTACTTGAATTTATAATAAAAATATAGACCTATTAGTTAAATAAGGACTAGAAAACTCTTACATATATATTCTTAAAAGTATAAACATTCATTCATAAGCCATTTAAAGTTAATAAAATAAAAAAAGTATGACTTAAAACTAGCTTAGGTGTTTTATATACTTACATATATACTGTTTATATTTCATATATTTTCGTATATACTTCATATATTTTAATATATATTTCATATTGATATTATCTATAAGCATTGAAATGCATTTTTGAGATATTATTTATAAGAATTGAAGTACATTTTTAGATGTTTTTGCTTTTAAGTAAATGAATAATATATATACACAAAAGCTATGCTGTGCTTTCCTAAAATTCACTTAAATCTAATGTTAGAGGATTACAGTTCCCAGAGTCATCTGTTTCCTTTTGGGTAGAAGTCTCTTCTTGGACTCAAACTTTCCGTAATACAAGAGAAATAAATTATAATTTTCTTTTGGAGCTAGTATTTCTTCCTTCTCCTGTAAGCCCATTAAGTCTAGAAAGTAATAAATTTGATTAGCTATAAATAGTCAAGATTAAAAATATAAGTAACACAAATCCACCATCAGATGAATGGATAAAGAAAACGTGGAATATGTACACAGTGAAATACTATTTAGCCATTAAAACTAATGAAATCCTGTCATTTGCAGTATAACAAATGGAACTAGAGGACATCATGCTATGTGAAATAAGTCAGATACAGAAGGACAAATAGCTCATATTCCCCATCATATATGGGTGATAGAAGGAAAAAGATCAATCTGAACACAGAATGTTGATTACTAGAATCTAAGAGCAAAGAGAGGGATTAAAAGAGGTTGGATTTTTAAAAATAGATGAAGTTATATATAGCTCTTTCAGTATGACAAATATATTTTACTAATATCAGATTCTACAGTAGGGGAATATGAGTATGGTTTATAGTTTGTGGCAAGCATATCATACTAATATAAGATGTTAACAATAGGGAAAGCTAAGTGTGGTGTATACAAGACCTCGTACTACTTCATAATTTTTGTTTTGCAATTTTAAAATTATGAAATTTACAAAAAAAGACTTTTATAAAATAAGGAAGGAGAGAGAGCACTTTGGGTGTAATCAAATACATTTTACAGAGAAGAGATTTGATCTAAACCTTGAAAATGATCAGAGTATATAAAAAATGAAATGAAGTTGCTTTGATGTTTGCATCCCAGATAACGTGCAAATACTGTGGCTATACAGAGGTTAAAGAGGAAGAAAGGATACTTATTTTACTCAAACTATAAACAGTGGAACAAATGAAATGATCTATTCCTTGATTGGAAGCAGAAAATATAAAACTGTTAAATAGATGTGTTACTTTTAATAGTGATATGTATATCTGGCCATTGAGAATTGATGGCCTATCTATCCCAATAATGACTCAATCCAAGTAAATCTCATCCAGAAAAGACTAGGAGGTAGAATTTTCAAGGCTTAGAATAAATTTTTACCTTGAAATCTCGAGGTGTTTCTCAAGGGCATAGAAGAAGCTAATCCTATGGTCCCCCATGATGCACACAATATCTCTGGTATCCCTTACAGCACATGAACACGTGGACTTGTAAACTGGGGGAACCTCCAGTTATAGACCTGTTTATTGATAAACTTTCCTGGAATGCACTGACCCAGTACTAACCTGGCAACAATGGTTAAGAAAATAAAAGCTCCTTACAAATGGGATTTCTTATTAAAATAAACTCCCCTTAGAGCCTAGGACATTTGGACTGTGCTGCCTAAAAATATTAATGTAACTGCAATTCCAAGTCCTGTCAGATTGACCACATGACATGACACAAAGATCATGTTCCTTGGCTGATGGAGGGTGAGAGTTTCCCATTTATTCACAAGTCAATCTGTCAAGGATATAAAGCAAGGTGACAGTTGAGCCAAATAACAGAATCCCCTGGGTTGCCACTGGGTTTGTTTTTGACACCCCAAACTAAAAAAATAAACAAACAAAAAAAAACCCTCTTTTATATTCCTTCTCCTTATATTTAACAATGAGGTTTATTAAGTTTATTTATGAATTTATGTATTTATTTAAGACAAATAGAGAAAGACAGAGAGACAGATGGAGCTTCTATCTACTGTTTCACTCCCTAAATACCCACAATGGTTGGGGCCAAACTGGGGCTGGAAATTGGGAGCCAGGAACTCAATCCAGTTCCACCACTAGGGATAGGGTCACAACAATTTGAGCCATCATCTGCCTCCCAAGGTCTGGATTAGCAGGAAGTTGGAATTGGGAGTGGAGCTGGAACTTAAGCCCTGCCACTCCAATGTGGCAGGTAAATTCTTAACTATTTCCAAGACAATTTGATCTATGAACACATTTTTAAAGTTCCTATATTCTTTAGAAGACTATTTAAGATTTATTCACAGAAGTACAGAGGGAATAGAGTTAAAATTATGTTATGCAACCTGAGCACATGCAGAAGAAGGAAAAACCAAGCTATAAGGGTCAAAGGAAGTAGATCATGGCCAGAATTCAGAAAACAGAGCTCCTTCAGAAGTGACAGGTTGGGGTAGCGCTGTAGCAAAGTGGGCAAAGCTTCCTCCTGCAGTGCTGGCATCCCATGTGGGCGCCAGTTTCAGTTCCAGCTGTTCCACTTCTGATCTAATTCTCTGCTATACCTGGGAAAGCAGTAGAAGATGGCCCAAGTCCTTGGGCCCCTGCACCCACATAGGAAACCCGGAGAAAGTTCCTGGCTCCTGGCTTCAGATAGGCGCAGCTCTGGCCATTGTGGTCAATTGGGTAGTGAAACAGTAGATGGAAGACCTCTCTCTCTCTCTCTCTCTTTCTGCCTCTCCTTATCTCTCTGACTTTCAAATAAATTAACAAATCTTTAAAAAAAAGAAATGACAGGTCTGTTGACAAAAGATATCTTTGTACTGGGGCCCATTCTACTAAATATTGTGAATGACTTAATTTGGGGTCATTCTAATCCAATCCAAACTTACCTCACCAGTGGTTATGTATACCTCCTTTTCCTACTGGTCCCATAAACTTTCCCAGATCCCTGGTTGGAGAGACAAATTTGAGTCATAAGTCCTGTCACCTTCGCTGTCAGCCACACACATAAGGACTCTCTTTCCAAAAGACTGATGTCACAGACTAGTCTTTGTACACAGCTACTTGTTTGATAACAGATCTCCTCTGGAGTTCTCTTTATGCCAAAATCACGCAGGAGAAACAGGAAAACAGACACTATTTCTGGAAGGAAAGGAAACAAACAAATGAATATTTATACTGAAAATACATGAAAGTTGACACATCTAGAGACCAGTCATGCAAATCAATATGTTTTTCCTATAAATCTAAATTTGGGTGGGAAGGAGAGACAAGTAGAGATTTCTTCCTTCTTCTCTGCTGGATTTCACAGAGATACGCAGGAGTCTGACTGCTAAGCGTTTTTCACCCTTTAGACAGATTGGCAGGTTCTGTGTTCCCTTCTCTGTGGCTTCCAAAAGAGCAGAACAACTTTGATGACCTATCAAACTCCCCAGATCTACAGGAACAAAAGAAAATTTCCTTTATGTACTCTGAAGGTTCTCAAATAAAACAACAACAGATTGTATAAGCGAAAAGCTCCACAAATTCATTAATATGTCCAGGGAAAAATGGTAAGAATGGGCCTTCAAAGAAGGAGGTACCTTTCTCTGAAGGGAGGAGAGAACTTCCACTTTGACCATGGCCTTGTCTAAATATGATCAGAGTCAGTGAACTCAGGGGGCTTCCATAGCCTTGGCAGCTCATGACAAGAGCCTCGGGTGATTATTGATGTCATAAATGAGAGTGTCAATTGTTAAATCAACAACAGGAGTCACTGTGCACTTACTCCCCTGTCGCTCCCCCTCTTCGTGGAGGAACGACACTAAGTCCTGCCTAGGCTTCCTATCCGAGTCACGGCACCATCATGTCGCTCCCCGTCTTCGTGGAGGAACGACACAGGACCCTGCGTTGTTCTTTCGTCTGCTCGGTCCTCCCCGGGTTTGCTGCTGGTTCTTCCCGGGTTGGCTACCGTCCCTTCCACCTCCGTGGAAGGGCAGTTCCCCCTAGCCACTTTCCCCACTTCCGCGGGGGAGCGGCACACCGCCGGCCTGCTCTCTCGTGGACTGCACAGGTGTTCCCCTTAGATGTTCCTGGTGCATGTTGTCTCTCTCCTCCTTTATAGTCCTCTTCCACCAATCCCGACTCTGCTACCCACACGCCGAGTACGCTGCTCTCCTCCAGTCAGGAGCAGGTCCTACAGTTTATTGGTGGAACTGGAGGCAGCTGTGTAGAAGCTGTTTCTCCCTTCTCAGCGCCATATTGTGGGAGAGCAGATGCATAGAATAAGTCTTAATTCCAGTAACTTAGTCTAGTCCGAGTTGCTCCCCACACTCCCCATGTAGGATCTTTGTTTTAATGTGTTGTACTGTGTGAATTAACGGTATAACTAGTACTCAAACAGTACTTTATACTGTTTCTGTGTGGGTGCAAACTGTGGAAATTTTACTTAGTATATACTAAATTGATCTTCTGTATATAAAGATAATTGAAAATGAATCCTGATGAAGAATGGGATGGGAGAGGGAGTGGGAGATGGGATGGTTGTAGGTGGGAGGGTGGTTATGGGGAAAAAGCTGCTATAATCCAAAAGTTGTACTTTGGAAATTCATATTTATTAAATAAAAGTTTTTTAAAAAGTATGAAACTAAAAGGAGGGCTAGATAACGAAGTCCATGTATCCTTCATAACGGAGAGAAGGGAACAGGGAATATGAAGATTTTAGTGGTCATAAATTATTGTTATGGGAATGAAAGGATCCAAAGATAGAGACTAACTCGGAAAATGATTTGAATGAACCCAAAGAACAGGTTATCTTGGAATAAAGTTCAGCCAGGTGTGGTTCCATTCCTCTGTCTTAGTTTCTGAGACAGATCATGAGACACCAGGCCAAGATGAAGGTGCTGTGTTTCCTTTTAGGGGACTGGTCTTAAAGCAGAGAAGGCAGCTCCAGGAGGAGCATCCCCTCTGTTCTTGCTGAGGAGCAACACTGGACAGGTGAGAGAGACCTTGAATGTAAGACAGCATCTAAGGCTTCTCAATGTGTGAGGGCAACCAGTCCTTGCAGCTAGGCGAGGAGTAGAATAATATTCAGTTGCAAGTCAGAAACTTGCAATTGAATGTAAATGCTGGAGATAAACTGAAAAAGAACTCCAAAACCCCATCAAAATAGTGAACCAATGACAACACTGATCCACTCTTGTTAAGAACCATCATTCAGTTATCAGTGAAGAAAAGAAGTTTATATCAGAGTGCCACCACAGAATGTTTATGCTGATTTATAGTATTTATAGATAGAAATAAGTATTTTTAAAAATATTCATATACAAATTTCTACTTGTAAATATATATATATACACAGAACATGTGTGTGTATATATATATATATATATCTGTTTGTATGAATTTGTGTCGCACACACACTCAGACACACACACTTATCTCCATAATTTCCTTTGATTAAAATAAGGTAAATATAAGAAAACAGGAATTTATTTCACAGATTTTTAAGAAATTACTTTCCAAGTTCATAAATACTAAAAATTAAGGAAATACTCCATAATTTGATGTATCTGAGAGTTGAATTTCTGGGACTCCACTTCAATAAGAAAATCAAGATTCTTCTTTGCAGTTGGTAAATCAGATAAACTATACCCTATAAAGAAGATACGTTATGGCTTTTACTCCTTCACAAGGGCTCCAAATGTCAAGACATGAGCAGCCATCTCCTTTCTCTTTTATTTTATTTATTTGAAAGGCAGAGTTACGAACAGAAAGGGAGAAGGGAAGGAGAGACAGAGAGAGAAAGAGATAGAGAGAGAGAGAGAGAGAGATCTTCCTTCCATTGGTTCACTCCCAAGATGACTGGGGCTGGACCAGGTCAAAGCCAGGAGCCCAAAAGTTCTTTTGGGTCTCCCATATGGATGCAGTGTTCCAAGCACTTGGGTCATTTTCTGCTACTTTTCCAGGTGTATTAGCAGGGAGCTGGATCATAAGTGGAACAGCTGGGACTCAAACCCATGCTCATATGGAATGTTGGGATTCCAGGTGTAGGCTTAACACCCAATGCCACAATGCCAGCCTCACGGAAACTTTTCTCTGTTTCTTCATATGCAGTATGTATCTTGTTCCCATCCAGAGTGGTGAACAACTAGCCCAAATCTAAATAGACAGTATCTCCATTTTTTCTTCAAGTCTTAATGGGAGAGATAGAAACATTTTAAAAGAGTTTAGAGTACATTGTTCCTACCACAATTGGAGTTTGGGAATCCTTGAGGGCTAAACTACTAGAAACACTCTGACTCATGCCATTTTGGGTGGGCCTGATTCTTTAGCTTTTTTTCTGGCATATAGGTGAGAAACCTAAATAAAGTAGATATCTTATCTGCTTAGTTTAGGCAAGTTTAATTTTAATTGCTTGCAATGAAAATCCTTGAATTATAATTTTAATAAATTTTTCATAATATGGTTGTTTGAAACTGAAGATTCCAAACATATTTGTAACACTTATTTTCCATCAACAATGCAATACAGTTTTCCTCACATAACAATACAAAAACTTGAAACCCAGCAAATTGTATTCCTCAATGTTAATCTTGAAATAAATGCTCTTATCAGCTTCCAGTTTTTTTTCAATCTGCTTTCAATAACAGTGGCATGAAAATGTTAGAGAGATACTGTCAGACTTAACAGATTTTGTATCACTTTAATACTGAGCATGTTCTTAGTGCCTCGCCATTAATTAGGTAGCTTTCAGGAAAATGAACTGTACAAAGAAGAATGTAGTAACATCACAGAAAAATGGGGAAATAATTAAAATCCAACTTTTAGGACATTTTAAAATGATAATTGTTAGCTGCTCATTGACATTTTAGTTCAAGCACCCTGGAAGAACCATTATTCAAACAAATGTACTGAGATGGAAACCTCTTAGAAAGGTACTATGTTGAAGGGGGAGTCTTTCTGACTCAAATGACTTAAAATTCAGGTAAGTGTAGTACTACTCTAACAGTTTCAAGGGTTCTCTTTCTCTTGTAAAAGAATTTCCTCACTCATCTTTAGATTATTTCTCCAGTTGTAAAGATTTTCATGGCTTTAAAAAAAAGTTCCTGCCTATTAACATTCAGAACTTATGATATCCAATGACATAGAACACCCTCAAAACTTAATGATATCTTGCATCTGTGTGCAAGGCACTGTGTAAGGGGCTTGGTTTCACCAAGTATCTATAAAAAGGAGATCAAAGAACATTTATGAAGTGTTATTTAGTTCTGATGGAACAAGAGGGTTGCAGACATTCAAGGGGGATTCAGCGGTTCAGGCAGCATAGACTTCATTTTCATGTTCTTCTTGTCAATGATATATGGACCTAAAAGTGTTCTTCCTCTGAAATATCATTCAAAATTCAGCTTGTTGATTTCAGCTTTGTAACATTTCATCTCACTCTTTTGGTTACTTCCTGCTGTAGATTTTTCAAACCTTATTATGAGTTCCATATCTATACCTGGATTCCTGTGTATTATCATTCATTCAATCATAAATATCTATTGCATACAGATTAATTTTAGAGAAAGAAAAAGATAAAATATAAATATGTATTATAATTTTGGGTAGAGAATAATGATTAAAAATTAGTAGAAATCATAGGAAGTGATGGAATAGGCAAGGCTCTTTCAATAGTGTATGATTAGGTCTTGCCACAGTAATTCTATAAAATAAAATAACTATATTTGTCCCTTTGGGATTGGCTTATTTCACTCAGCATAATGTTTTCCAAATTCCTAACAGGGATCACTTTTCAGTTAAAATTTAAACACCTAAGAATAATTGTGTGTTAATTACAGAGTTCAACCAACGTACTAGAACAAAAAAAAATACTAAAATGCGTAAAGTATTACATTGTACATCAACCGTCAGGACAAGAGCTGATCAAGTCACTGTTTCTCATAGTGTCCATTTCATTTCAACAAGTTTCCCCTTTGGTGCTCAGTTAGTTGTCGCCGATCAGGGAGAACATATGATATTTGTCCCTTTGGGACTGGCTTAATTCACTCAGCATAATGTTTTCCAAATTCCTCCATCTTGTTGCAAATGACCGGGTTTCGTTGTTTTTGACTGCTGTATAGTATTCTATAGAGTACATGTCCCATAATTTCTTTACCCGCTATGCCACAGTGCCAGCCCCATACATGTCCCATAATTTCTTTATCCAGTCTACTGTTGATGGGCATTTGGGTTGGTACCAGGTATTAGCTATTGTGAATTGAGCTGCAATAAACATTAATGTGCAGACAGCATGTTTGTTTGCCAATTTAATTTCCTTTGGGTAAATTCCAAGGAG